ATGTATCGTGTTAGCTAGCTATATCGCCCGATAGTAAATAACCCAATTCGAATTGCTAGCTAGGTATATCGGGTAGTATATTGAGTTAGCTGGCTAGATCGCCCGATAGTCGATATTTTTTTTCTCCTTGGGATTGATCGTCTAAAAAATATTTTCAGAAATTAGATATATATAATACGTATAATTATAGTAATAATTATCGAGCCATATCAACATTAAAATCCAGTTAATCTATGATTTTCTTTCTCTTTTTTTTCCATTTGTGAAATTAGTTTTTTATTTTTTCCTCTGTTTTTCCAAGAATATTAAGAAAAACCAGATCTTCAATTTGTCATCTTTTCGAATCAAGTTTTTACTAGACGAGAAGCGTAGCAAGTAGGCATCGATCTATTAAAACGAAATCTGAGGCCTGTTCATGTAGTGAGTTTCAGGCAAGCTATGGCCTTCTTTTTTCTACAACTGTTTTTAATGCATTTTGATGTTAGTTCAAGTTTAGTCTATAAAATATTTTCAGAAATTAAATATATATATATATATAATAATATATAATATTCCAAAGAAGAAATCATTTTTATATCGCTTCAACTATCATCTACAGTTAAAGTATATAATATCAATATGTCAACTAAACTCTCTAAGGTAAGTTGTTTTGATGATTTAATCGAAAAGAGTATTGTCCTTAAGCAAGCTGGCAGAATCAGCCCACTTTTCATTCGGCAATCATAGATAATTTGCTGGTCTCTACTAGCGAAAAGTCTACAGTGAAAACTTCACTGTTTCTTTCAATGATTTAAATAACTTGTACTTAGGATCAAACCGACGATCTGTTACACGCGATGGAACGAAGATTCGAAGAATTAATACAAAATCTGCACCAGCGATTTGATTTGACCCTCCAACCAATAAAGCAACAAATACAACAGGCAGAAGAACACATATAAAAGGGGAAACAACAGATAGAGAAGTTAAGTGAGAATATCAAGAGAAAGTTAAAGTTATTCACAAAGAGAGAAAGAAAGAATTAAAAACAATATCTACCAGTAAGTACTGTATTTCAAAAATGTAGAGGTGAAATGAATTGGCTTAATATAAAGAAATTTTTTGTTATAGAAATTCGTCATGGTACTAATGATGTAAATAAAAGTTAAAGTACTTAAACGTTTTGTTTTATTTTTGTATCTTGTAATTTGATAGTGGACTATAAGCCCGATATTTTCTTGTTTTGTGCCTTAATTTATAATTTTTCAATAAACAAAAAACAACATATTTCATTTATAAGTCACCATTGACAATAATAAATCACTTGAAACAATTGAGTTTCTTCTGAATTTTTTGAAAGAAAAGAAAATTATATGGAACAAGCTTGATAAACAATAATAATTATTTAACTCCGTTACAATTTGCTGTTCAAAACACTAATCTTGTTTATGTTAAAAAATTGGTTGATAATGGTAATTTTAATAATGTATTTAACCAACATACAGGTGACAATATAATTCATTTAACAATACAAAACGGTGATAATTTATCTATGGTGAAATATTTAATAGATGATATGCATGTAGATGGTGAAGTACCTAATTATGCTGTAACACCATCTGAATTAGCAAAGATGTTGAATAGGATAAATATTTATAATTTTTTGAATGTGTTTTTGAACCAAGGCAAATATTTTTCTATTTTAATTAAAAATTATTTTTAAATAGGATGGGATAGTATCTATAGAATTTGCTTTGAAATGAAGCGGCATTAAAGTAGAATAAAGTGTATCAGCATGAGTGATCGCAGGGAGTACGTAGAAAATAAAATATCTGATTGAGAGTAGACGTGCTCAGAATAGGCTTATGTCTGCGCATTAGATGGAGTGTGTAACTACATTTTTTAATATGTACCGGGCATGAACTGACAAATCCAATATTTTTGTAAGATAGACACTTAAATGTTTATGTTCATCGAAAAAACGAAGAAGAGAATTGTCCAAAAAGAGAGACGGTATGATTGATCGTTTACCGAATAACATTACAACACAGTCTTAAGAATTTAACGGCAATTACCAATATTTAGACCATTTATTTATTTTTTCTAAGTCAGAGTTAATGATGTCCGTTACACTTCACATATTATTACTACTGTGATAGCACGATGTATCATCACCAAACAATCTTGGTTTTGACTGTTTTTGTAAAGAAATACCATCGATAAATAGAAGGAATAGCAGTGATCCAAGGATGGGCCCTTGAGGAATTCCTCTATTTATTGACGGTGGACCAGACGTTTGTCCGTTTACCACTTTGACACATTTTCGATTCTTAATTTGCTCCGACCACTTGTACGTAATGTTACACAGTGGGCATTTTTTGCTAAAGCAGACGGACTTTAGCTTTATGAGTGAACGAAAATTTCATGAATCATTTTTCTATAGGTTTTTCATGATCCTCTTTCTAATGGCATGAGATTTTGGTTTTAAAAAAGTTTTCTAAGGAGTTTTCCAGAGATTTGGTCTGTGGAAAACCTTTCAGGAAACTTTCTCAATATTTAAAAACGATGCCACTGCAAAGAGCATTGTCGAAAACCTATAAGAAACATGTCTCGAGTCGTTCAGGTTACTTTATCTCGAAATTCAAATTTTCAGCACGAAAATGTTGGTGTCAATCTCAAAAACTAAGAAATTTCTAGAATTCAAAATCGAGCTACCGAAACTAGATGAGTTATACACCATTCTCTACAGTTTTTCACGCTGATTCCGAATATGGTATTATATTTGAAGGGAAGTGCATTTATAAGCGAGAAAACCATGAAATATCCCGAAAACCATATGGGTTTTAGAAAATTGATAGTTCGACTTTGACGAAAAATCGCATGCAGTATAAGTAGAGTGGGTGCTAGAGAATATTTTAATATAATTAGAAGGTCGATTTGACTGTAGCGTATTTTAATTCTGTTTTGAAGTATACATATTTTGATATCAGTAGCTAGCTGAGGATCTGCAGATTCCGAATATGTGCTTTTGAATCGTTTAACATAGTTAAGCGAACAAATAATCAAGATTTCATGCGTATGTGTCACTTTCCGTGATATCTGTTATGCACCTCTTGTCGCCTGGTTTCTCCTCGAAAGATTGGATATCAAAATAGACAGTTATACACCATTCGATAGAGAATTTCAAGAGCTATATTTTGCACTATTTATATTTCAAAAACGAGAAATTTCGATTTTTCGCCAAATTTCCGCTTGGATGCCCACTGTGTGTTATTATGTCTAGCTATGAATGTTCTATTCTGTATAACGGCTAAAACGAGTAACTGCCACCCTCAGCTGCGGTGGGTTGAGCGATATTTTTTCTCTCAAACTAGCCTTAAAAGCACATCATTAGACGCCGTTTTTTGCGCTGATTACGAATATCAACTTTAAAAAGAACGAAACTCAACTTTTCAAATCGAAAATTCAAATTTAAAATTTAGAAGTTTTTTTATTTCAATTTTCTGACCTACTTAGTTTTTTAAAAAGTTTCAGAAAATATATTAGTGGATAAAGAATTAAATTCTCTACAAAATACAGTATTGACTTTGTCGAAACAAGCTTAAAAAACGCATTTTGCACACTAAACAAGTTTTTGCTAGTTTTTGCCGATTTTTTGCCGAATTCGAAATGATACTTTTTTTGGAGCAATTCTACGAAAATCAAAAACATTTTTCCCACTGTTCTTTTTTGCTTAGTATGATAGAGGGCACTCGATTGCATAAGGCTCCGTGTAGATCAAGTTTATACCGGTAGAAATATAATGCTAAAACTCACCGCAAAAGAAAGCAAAAAAATGATGTAATTCCGTCACGGAGCCATTTCGCCTGTTTCTTTTCATTTAAGCATTTCTGAGTGAAAGTAAAGAGATGATTCGAAAGCTCTTTTCATGCTCTACAACTTTTATATTAGACTTTTTTTTCTGAATATGTTTCGTTTTAGAGCATTTTTCAAAGTTTGTAGAGCACTAGAAAAAAAAGGCTAAAAAATGTAATTCCGTCACGACACCTATTTTGCTCATAAAAATCGTTCTACTTAAGTTAACATTGGAAATTTTTACCACAAACCAAGCATTCTACCGCACATCTCTGATAAAAATTTCGTCATCTTTTGTTCAATATTTGGGGAGAAACAGAGTCCAAAAGTTGCAAAAATGTAATTCGGTCACGCTCGTTTAAGCCGAGTTATTCTAACAAAATACAATTTCAGACGATGAATTAGAAATCAGATTTGAAGAATTATTTGAAACAATTTTAAGTGAAGCAGAAGTAAAACATCCTGTTATAAAAGTTCATTAACAAATTTTACAAGTGTATAAACAGAATCGTGAAGGTATAAAATGGAATTTAGATACAACAGATATCGATTTAACTTTCTTTTTAAAAGACAGTAAAAAAGAACAATTTAAAAGTACAATGTAGTCAATTGTGTCACGAGAGCTAACAGATAAAGAGAGAAAAACTTTATTATTTAGCGAATTAATTTTAGATACAACAAAATTAGTCGAAACAATCACATATTATTCAGATTATATTGTTATAAAAGCAATAACAAACACAACTAACAAATTAATGAAATATAAAATTCAAAAAGATTCAACCGAAGAAAAAGCACATAAATTAGTGTATACAATACTGTTAGATGAATTAACTGTGATTCAACATAAATGGAATTCACCCAACAATGTTGTGAACCGTTTACAACAGGAAAAAATTCGTTTAAAACAACTTTTTATCGACACGTCAAACGGTGTTGTTGGTACAAATTTATTGACTAATGAAACAAATTTAATTCTAAATCAACATTTAAAGGATGGTTTTATAAAAACATTTACTTCAGATATCATTTTATCATTACAAACTAAAAAATTTGTTCATGATTATAAAGTTTTACAAGCATATATTGATTTAGATCTAATTGATTTAATTGAACGAAAGAACATTAATCAATTAATTAAAAATTTAAAAAACTCACATATTCATTATATGTCAGTTGTAAATAAATTGTCAAATGTAAATTAATTAATTAAAACAAAATTATTATCATGTTTAAACTCACAATGGACACATTTTATACATATGATTGAAGAAGCTATAACATCAGCTGCTGATGAAGCGCGAATGACTGATGAAAATAACAGTCGAACAAGATTATTTTATATTAATATATATTCGATTTGTTACCAATTTCGTTACGACAACAATTTTCATCGTTAGATGCTCATGATTATATTGTTTGTGATGATCAAGATGTACATGTTTTTACAGATATTAAAAATAATATTCTTAATACGTTGTCGAGAATAGTGCCAGATTTTAGTACTGATGAATTTGGAACCGTGATTGAATCAATACGTGCTCAAATGGTCCATCGGCATCAAAATGATATTATTAAACTACATTGTGGAGAGCCCTGCCCAATATGTAAAGTATCTTGCCATTTAGAAGCTGACCATAATTCCTATGAAATAGATTTACTGAAGTTAAATGGTCAAGCAATTGTTGGTCGAGTTATACAGATATTATTAGCAGCTAGGAAAAATACAACAAATGATCTCTCTAAGAAATTACACGATTCTTATCATCAACCACGTGGTCTCATTGGATGTTCTTGGATAAAACATCGTTATTTATTAAATCAATTGGTCGCTTCTGATTGTGCAACGTCTGCACTTTTCACTCATCGTTTTAAATATAAGGGTGAGCATTATCCTTTTAAAAAGTATTGCAAAATATTTCCAGAATGGCAATTACCAACCTTAACTTCAAAAGATACTTTAAAATTAAGAGAATACATATTCTACAAGTATCAACTGGAATTATCAAATGAATATTCAAAACTGAAATGTACAGAAATGCCAGGTCGGTATAAACATCATACATTAATAACAATTAAAAACCACTTACAACAAGTGACAAATGAAACTTCAATTGATTAAAATATTTTTTCTCACTTCTTGTATTTGCGCTGTAAAGTTGTTTTTCCCCTAAACGTATTTTATTTTATCAGTCCTATACTTTCTGATTTATATTTATCAATCGAGATTAATAAAGAATTTATTCCTGATCAAAACAAATAGTTTGTATATGCATAAGATTCTCATTCCTTTGATGTTGCCTTGTTAGAGAAATACAATCTCATAAAACTTTTTCTTCTTTTAAAGTTTCATTCTATGGTGAACAATTTGCGGTTTGACGACGGACACAATAACTCATCTTCATTTCATGACAATATTTTATACCACCACACAGTCTGTCAACTTTGAAGAATGTTAAACACGTGTTCGATCATACGGATATTTTGATCGACAAAAATCATCACACCACTACTACCTCTATTATTACCAATGAAACTGTCACAGTTGGACAACGAATATTTAAGATGGAAAAGTTTTTTTTTCTATTCTTTATAATTTGTTTCATCTGTATTATCATTTGTTGTTGAACCAAGTAGTTGTTTAAATCATTAGTTATTGTATATTTCTTGAAATAGAAAATAATCCACAAAAATACTGGTCGTTTCCCGTAGATATTGACAAAATCATTTATATTAGAACAATATAATGGAAATTTGATTGTCTTTACATTGTTCTATACCATTATGAAATATTTTTGTTGTCGTTCATTAAACAATAAACCTTGGAAAGGGGTACAAAAAGTATGTGAAAGATTCAAACAAACTAGAAAGATAGACTACCCTATTTTTTAAAACCGAATACAAACATTTTTTCCATCGTTTAGTAAGATCGAGCAGACACTTCTCTTCAAAATGAGACCTTCCGCAGCTGTCCACAACTTTTCTTCATTGAGTTATGACTTTTACACCAAAAGCCCCATCAGCAGAAGTCTCAGTTACATTGTGAAAAAAAAAGAGCTGTTACAGGCTGACGTTCGCTTTGAAGCTTGTAGTGAAAAAGTTACAAATCAATGAAAAAAGGTTGTGGAGAGCTGCGGAAGGTTTTGAAGAGAAGTGTTTGCTCGATCTTACTAAACGATGGAAAAAATGTTTGCATTCGGTTTTAAAAAAGTAGAGTAGTAAAACAAAAAAATATTTTACGAAATATAAATGGATAATGAAACTACAAATAATAATAGAAGATTTTAGTAATAACTACAACGAGAAATATACTTTAAAAATCAGAACTTTCAGAATTATTCAATCTTGTGACAATGACAGCATTCCTAAAATGAACGAAAACACTCTTACTTTCTGCATGTACAATCCAAATAGTAGGGTGAGTAGTTCAATGTGTTAATATCACCATGATGTATTGACTTACCAACTAATAATTCAACAATTGTATCTATGATCTTAAGTTGTCAATGAACACTGGTATGTCCACTGATCATGTTGGGTAAACACCTTTGAAAATATATTTCGTCAACGTGATGTACAGATATATACAACAAGTGACGACATAAGAAAGAAAACGAAATTAATTGGTTTTTATTACCAAAGTAAGATCTTAGTACAGTCATAATGATCATACAATCTGATAAAAAAATACTTTTAGAAGGTATCTGAAATCTATCTTCATATGATTGTGTGTGATTCTGAACTTGTCGATCATTCAAGCTGTTCTAATGGCAAATTTGTATCATCACCATCAATTAATGATTTGTGCGAATTTCTACAAAATACCCGTTCATTTTCTGTTATTATTGTTTGTTTTTGAACAGGAAATTTAGCATGAATGAATTGCATAGAATGATGTCAATGGTCGTGTGGTCAAATTCTGCTAGTGCTGAAAATTATTTATTCGTCAGCATCATAAGTTATTTATATTGCAGAATTATTGCTTGTAAAACGATTTAACAGTAGTATACAATTGACCTCAGTTCTTCGATTTTACGAGAGAATATTCTCATGTGTCTGATCGACTTTTTCATGAGAAACACTAAATTAGAAGTTACTCTTGATGAGCCCTATAGTATCGACAATCGCGTTGTCCGTATGAACAAATATTTAGACCTGCCGAACAAGTGTTCAGTCAGATATACAAATCTTTCAGTATTTGGAAAATATCAAGATGTCAATCGAACTTTTGTAAATGTTTTCTCATCCTTTATTATTCAAATGACGAGTAATATTTGTGCGACTGCTGATGTGAAATGGTCCATGAAGGTCAACTAATACTAGAATAATTGTTTCTAATGAAGATTTTCAAACATTTAGTTACAAATTGTTGATAGACCGCCATCTTCAATCATTATTCTGCATCGTTCACGTTTTCAGATGAATGAGAAAAGTGAACGAAATTTAGACAAGAGTTAAATCATGAATGCTTCCATAAATAAAAATGTTTTAAAGCTCAATAGGATTGAAAACTCTTTTTTATTTACTCGATATTTTATTACAATTGTAAAACTCAAAAGTTTAATGTCTGATTTTTCATTAGAGAATTGCTTTTAAAAACCTAGTTAGAAAATATGAGAATAAACTCGTTACTCTTATATTTATAAGTTCAAGTATATTTTATTTGATTTTTCAAGTATTAATATTAATGTACATAAATTGACACCGTTACATATTTGATTTTTCAAGTTGATCAATTTAAATTGCTTGTAAAATTTATTCACCTCAAAAAACATTAGGAGACTTAAGATCATACCATTAATCAGATATGAGCTATGAAACTCTCATTAATGGACAAAATTGAGCCTCTTAAAAAAAAATGTGACCTTTGAACAGTTTAATTAATTCTGAACGATAAAAAAAACATCATACGGTTTATGTATTTAAAACGGATGTTTATGAAAGAGTGTTTTTTTGTTTAGAAGCGAGCGATAAACAGTTAATTTATCAAACACTGTTTGAATCAAATTGATAGAATGAAAATAATTATCACGCTATGTCACATAAAAAAAAAGATGTTAGACGAATGGTTATCGTCTTCTATCGTATAAAAATTAATTCAATAGAGAATATGTTCTTTATGTAAACGGTGAAGGGAGTATAATGTTGAGAAAATTAAAGAAAAACTAAGCCGTTTAGATGAGAATAAAAAATTTTCTTTCTACTCTTCAGAGAGTATGTAATATAGTTAATATCGTTTTAATAAAATATATTTTTTTGTATATTACTAAGAATATCGTAAGTTTATAAAACTGAGACGAGAATAAGCAGATTTTCCCTTTTTTTTTTTATTTTGACAATTTTTTTTTTTTTTTTTTTTGTTGTTTATGGTGTATTCATTTAATAAAAAGAAGTACTCATCTCTAATCGAGCTGTCACACACAGAAAATATCTAAAGATTTTTTTTTTTTCTTCTTTTTTTGCTCTCTTTTCTTCTTTTGAAAATATCAAATCAGTTCTCATGCCATGTCTAATTGATATGACAAATTGATTGTGTTCTTGAATATGAAAAATAACAAAAAATTTTATGATAAAAGAATAATCTCGCTTTTTTTCGCTATATAAAAGACATATTTACATAATCTGTTATAGATGCGAACAGACAGAAGATTTAGAAAAGGTAATTTTGTTCTATCAATAAAGTGTTAAAGTCAATATTGTTCTTATTTATTCTTCTTAAAATCGGTACTATTGTCGAGTACAGTTTAGCAATCATTTGACAAGGTTTACTACTGGAAAGAAGATTTTTATTCAGGTTCGATAAATATAAGCTTTCGGGTATCTATGGCATGAAGAAATAAAGATTTAAGATTGAGTCAACATGACTGAGTTTTGTCTATGCAATGAACAAAACTCTGGTTACAGCGTTCGACGTCGTAGAAAAGTTAAACATGCGAATTTTTTCTTTTACGTTTCAACATAAAACACAGCTTAAAAATTGAATATATTCATTGGTATGACTCTCTTGAATCGGTCTGTAAAACCATTTTCAAATGTTTAATACTGCATACTGAATGACGTATGAGTCTATCCTATCAAAATGAATGACCAAGTTTTTTTTGCACAGTTTAAGTTTGAAAAATATACTTTTCGTTAATGTTTTATGCTGATGTTGTTCTAAATTTTGTCATTTGATTTGATACTCTGAACACATATGTCATTCAGTATGTTCTATTCACTAATATCATCTGAAATTAATTTTCAAGACCGATCAAAGAGAGTCAAACAAATGATTCGATACAGGGAGACAATATGAAGAGTCCAATTTCTCTCGTTAGTTTTCTAATTTATCACCACTTTTTCTCTTAGATTTACTGATAATAAGCTTCTTTTTTTTTCTATAATATTTCTTAGACTTTGAGAAACACTTCTTTTTTTTCTATCATCTATGCTTTTCTTATGATACATGTTTTTTTTAAACTAAAACGATTTTTTATGATTGATATTACTAAAAATAAAACGTTTTTATTACGTTTACATATCTGAAGTTGACAATCTAATTTTAGCTAATTTTCTGTGGCATATCAATTAATCAATCAGAATATTTCTTTGAAAAGCCACTATTTACAATTTGGAATATTTTTGTGGTCAATTCAACTTTCTTTTTTACTTTCTATCACTTTCCCTCCTCCTCCTTCTTCTTCTTCTTCTATGTAGAAAATGATTATTTCTAATCGTGAAGAAATTTTCCACATCATTGCATGTGTATGTGAACTGAGATTTTACACACTGACAATTTCATTTCACCACATATAAATGTTACACAAATTAGTTTGAAGAAAAAATTAATCCATGATGATGAAGAAGATGATAAAGAAAATAAATGTCATATAGTTGATGAATTTTTTTCCTGACATATACAATTTGTTTTTATGATAACACTTAGAGTAGGTAAAATGTAAATACAAATATGTGAAATTCTTCTATCATAGAAGATAAATAGTGTACAAGATGGACATCATAGGATAGTTAACTTTCATGAATTGCATAATAACTCACAGTTTTCTCAGAAATACAAAAAACATATCTTTAATATTGTCCACTTTGCTATAAAGTTTTTATCATTTTTGTTTCTGTTTTGTGATAAACGTGTCGCATATGATTCGATACACTTCAAAAACATAACATAGAAGGATATTTTATATCATGTTTGAAAAAGTTAAAACAAATAGAACATCACTATTTTTCTCCATTTTATAGGCAACATTTGTCTTCGTCACAATTGGGAAAAAAATTGAGATAAAAAAAATATTGCCTGCAGGTGATATACTTACTTGATTAGTTTCTAAAACAGTAATTTACCAATTCAATGACGTGAAAATAGACTTTTTGACTACAATATTCAATCAATGTAAGAAAGCAAAAAAATATTTAGCTGTAACAAATCAGCTGTAGTATTCAGATCACATCTAAATTAATGATACATTTAACTAGCTGCTAGCAGGGGTAATTTAATCTACTGTAAAATCGAATGGCGTTTTATCCATCAACTCTTGTAAGAATAGAAATGAAGATCTACAGTTTTCACGAGTCAGTTGACAAGAGAACCTACCGAGGTGCACCTCTCCGTTTCCAATGATTTATATTCGATCGATAGAGGATAGCAAACTAGTAAAAGTCCTAGAATAATAGCTGTCCATAGTGCTTTGTTCAAACGTTATAGCATTTTTTGTGTTTTTTCCTATGAGAACACGGAAAAATTAACAATTTTATAACTTTGTCAAAGAACATAGTTAACAGCTCAAATTTTTTCTGTCACTGTTTATATGTCTCTGATATGCACAAGAGATTTCATCCTTTTAGCTCGTTCGATTCCTGAATTATTGAACTTTGAAATTTACCATAGATTTGCCCTTGGATACGTTTACAATTAAATGACTTTAAAATTATTAATTTTTTACCGAAAATGTTGACACTTGCAGAAATAAGATGATTTTGAGGTCTTATTTCAATTATGAAATCCAAAAGATTGGCCTCAACTTGACCATGAATTATAGGACTATCAGAGGCTTCCTTAAAAATCTGTATTACAGAACATCGAAATCGTACAATTTTGATTAATTTAGTTGATGCTTTATTCGAAACATCTCAGTTGGGAGAGTTCTAAATAGTTTTGTTAAAGAATTAACGATTTTACAGTCATTTAGTTGTGAGCATATCCAAGGGCAAATCTGTGGAAAATTTCAAAGTTCAATAATTCAGGAATCGAACGAGCTAAGAGGATGAAATCTTTTGTGCATATCAGAGACATATAAACAGTGATAGAAAAAATTTGAGCTGTTAACTATGTTTTTTGACAAAGTTATAAAATTGTTAATTTTTCCGTGTTCCCATAGGAAAAAACACAAAAAGTGCTATAACTTTTGAACAAAGTACTATGGGCAGCTATTCTTTTCAGTTTTTTACTAGTTTGCTCTCCTCTATCGATCCAAATGTAAATCATTGGAAACAAAGAGGGGTATCGCGGGTGGTTCCCTCCTGAGAAGGCAAATTTTTTTTGAGAGAATCTTTGGAAAGTTGGTTTAATTGTTCCAAAATATAAATACGGTAGTTATTTCAGGCCAATAGATAGTCTAACGTTTGATCTTCAGCATGTAAGTTAAGCGCTGTCTTGGTCTTTAGTCGTTCGATGTGTAGCATCGGTAAGTCTTTTTGGTGCTCTACAAGTGATACTTGACACATTTAAAAATCTGGCAACAATAGACGTCATGAAAACATAAGTTTCTCGGCAGTTTTCACTTAAGATCAATATGTCATAACTTACTCAAAATACACCAGAATGACATAAAACAGTCAGAATGTCCTGTATATACCACTGGTAACTAATCTATGACAGCATCTTACAATACCTTCTAGTTTTTGAATAAATTTTCACAACATATTTGTATGAAACTATAGTTTAGGCGCTAATATCAACTGTATCCTAGAACTTTCAGATCATAACGTTATTATGAGTGAGTGAGAACACTTTTGATCGTAAATGGAAACCGGATGAAAATTCTAATTTTTATGAAACTCGACTTTCATCAGATTTCTGAATTCACCCACTACTCCTAGAGCTCTACTGGAACCCATTATCAGATCCAAACCACTGAAAATCAAGATTAGGTAATCTTCTCTTCTATTTTGAAGAGCATACATTAGACTCTCCACTCACCTATAGTTAGTTCTTTTATAAAAGAACTAACATATTGTCATTTAGATTTTGAAAGAACTGAAGGTCTTCGTCAAACACTCGTTGTGACAAGAATTTTTGAAATTTGTTTTCCTTACTAAAAGATGTGTTTCACTTTGCTCAACTGATCAGTGAACACTGCAGATCTTCGTCTCTATTCGTTAAGAAATTGATCAAGAAACGCTACAGTCTATTCGATTTTAGAACGGATACTAGCACAGTGCATGTGCCTTTTTTGAAGCATGTATAGATGGATTTGTATCAGTTAATCGTCTAATATTAAGAATAGTGAACATTCTGAGAAATATCTGCTATAAAAGAATTAAAAATTATTCTTTTTTGAAATGTTTTATTATTTTTGATTGATATAACAAGAAGTATTCACTTTTATTCAGTCGCATCAGAAGCCTAAGATTTTTTGAAAACAAAGACTTTTCTGATCTGATCGTGACCGCAGAGTCATGATAATCCCATGTTTCTCTACACTTCTATTTATACATATTTTGAAATGATAGTAATTAAAATAATGGGCGCGTGTTAGAAAATAACACTGTAACAACTAAATATCAGAAGAGAAAAAAGAAATTTATCACATCGATTCAGGCAATAGGACAATATAGTAAGTAGCAGTTTATACAAGGACATAAGAACATCTGTTGATAAAAACGTGTATGTACTAATTCTATTTAGTTGTTATGTTATATATATATATATATATATATATGTATATAATTCCATTCGACCCTATCAGTAAGTTAAAATAATTTTTTCCAATAAATCTGTACTTTTTTTTCATTCTGTTATTTAGTTAACGTATTCTATCTATATTTAATTTTTGTTATTCTATATATTAGTATAATAAAGGCGGAAATGTAATAATAGACTCTTTTCATTGTAGAGTTTTTGTTCAGGTAAATTGAACACATTTAGCCGTAAGACATGGAAATAAAATAAGTTTATGTCATGGTATAAAATAATTTGTTTTTTATATTAACAAATGATGATAAAGACGAATAACTAGACAGTAAATAGTCACATTGCCCTCATGAATAAAAATCTATATGTATACAACTTTTATTCTTTCTCTATCTCGCTAATATAGAAAGAAACATTGTGCACTTTAACATCCGTTTTTTAAACTGTTGTAGAGTATCAACTCTCAGTGTGTATTGTTTAGAATAAAGACCTTACAGTTAGCTATTTTTTTGTACTTATTCAACAATTTTATAGCGTTTACATCCATTTTTATTATTTTTCGTTAATGTACCATTAAATAATATATATTTCTTCATCTTTTATCCATTTTTAATGATGAGATCAAAAAGTTCATGGTTTTTATTTCAAAGTAGTTTGACATTTATACTAAGCATTTTTTCTTGTCATTAATAAATATTCAAATTTTAATTTATAGTGTGACTTATTTTGTTTATTTAGATTGAAAATGTATTAATTAAATGCCGAAAATAAATTACTATTATTGTTATAATAATTGTTATATTCTTCTTTTATTTTACATTCATCGGTGTTTATCTAAACAAGCAGGTGGACATTATTCATCTCAACGGGCTCTTAATGCTCCAAGTAATAATCCATTTTGGAGTAATGCATTACCACCACAAGATATGCAACAAGTTTATGAATATAGTACGTATGATATATTAATTTTGTATGTAAGTGAGTGAGAAATGATGAGACAACGAGATTTTTCTATTTCACTTCAACATCTTTTCTTAAAAAAAAAAAAAAAAATTGTTCGTTTTTCGATATACTCTTCTGTTCTATATATATAACAAAAAAGATATCTATTTTCATATAGTAAATGTGAGAAGTTTTTCTTCAAAAGAACAGTTTGTATTTAAAGCGATAAACTAACACGTTGGATGTATTTTACTGCTTCCTATCCATCTAAAAAGAACAAATGATTTATCATTATTTTTTCAATAACATTAGAGTGAAACAAGATGAGAACTAGTGATTTTTACTATTGTGTATCGAACAGTTGAATGAATATTATGTCGACTGCAAACACGAATATAAAACGCGATTGTCTGCTGAAAAACCGTTCTAAATCGCGATTTCGAGGCTTTTAATATAATATAAAAGTCAGACAACGTACACGATGGCTCGTGACTCAAGGAAAAAATGAGCTAACTACTAGAAAAACGTGTTTTTTTATCAGACTGCGGTAAATCGCTTCCAATGTTGAGCCAAGATTTACCGTAATAGACGAACGTACCGCATTTTTCCAGATGATATCGTGTTTTTTTTCAAAGTCAAGAATTTTCTATTGAAAAAAAAAAAAAATTTGAGTTGTACTAAAATTGTTATTGTTTGCTGTCACCCAAAACGCGCTAACGAACAAGGTCACCATAGTGTACAATGTAAAATAGCCAGAGTATTTAGTTTAGAATGATTTTCGTATCACGGTCACCTCTAAGATACTGTGGTGTGACATTTCTTCACGATTATTAGTGGTACATCATTTATTCTATGAGTTGTAGAACTTAAAGTCAGCTTAATCCATTACGTACTATGATAGCCATTTGGGAATATTAAATAAATGATTCTATTATTTTCAGATGTGTAAATATTTTTATTATGCAGCATATTGTTGAAGAATCCATAAAATTTGCCTCGCAAAATAATCGAGACGACTTTCAAATGATAGAAAATTGCCTAAGAAAATTTGTGGGAGATCTAAGTTTGAAAGCCTAAAAACTCTCTAAAACAATATATTAATGAATTTTACTTTTAAACCTTATTTCGATACATCTTTTTATGCATAAAAATTCAGAAAAATCAAAATTTAAAAATTTGGTACTTAACGGATTAAGAAAACTCACTTCAAGATGAGCAATGATATCCACTACATAAGAGTTTCTTGATTAGCCTAATTAGCATCGCGTTTACACGTGGTTTATAGAAACATATTGTTTCATCACGTGAGAATAAAACGTGTACTTTGGTAATGTACGTAACTAAACGCTATTTTTGAAAAAAAATTAACCTCACCCATAACGCCATGTTTCTCGTAGTTTTCAAGACAATTACGTCTCACCTATTTTTTAGGCCAAAACAATACTGATATAAAACACGAAACAACTGTTGTACAAAATTTTTTTAGAATAAGATCCGTTTATAATTAAGTTCATAACATAAATCAAGTGTGTAGCGAACTTTTATTCACTAACGATGGAATATTTCTCTATAACAATGGAAAAAAGAAAATGTTCTTTTATTTATGAAAAGTCTTAGTAAGCAAAAGAAGTATATCTTTCGATATGCATATGTAGTAAAGTAATTCAGAGAATAATATGTTTTGTTTTATTCGAAATGTTTATCTTATGCTTGAACATGAAATGGTTCTAACTCATCTACTACAGAAATATGAGCAAAAGTTAGAACAAGATATCACTCAATTCTAGAGGAAATATAAAAGTCTAATGGAAAATGCCACCTTACTTAGTGTACAAAAAAGTCTGTGGGTTTAATATTTTTTTACATCCAGAAATCACGAATGTAGAAGTTTTGAGAAAAATATCCTAGTTGTAACTATTAACATACAAAATTTCATATCTCACCTAAAATCAAACCAAACCACTTGAAACGTGCAAAAGTTACCCAATAGTAACTGATTTGCACATCGATATAGTCTAAAAAAAGAAAGTCTTTGTTATCTTGTTTATGAAATTTAGGATTTTCTTAGAAATGCGTGCAAACAAAGATCAATTTAAAATCTTTACCGCGTTCAAACTACTCAGTCTTTTCATTTGATTATGTGCCTAACGAACTAATCGAATTTTGAACAACATATATACATTTGTTATTTTTCTATGCTTATAGCCGAAGTGAAGTATTTTCCTCAAATCATATGTTCACTAGGTTTTTATACTTTTTTTCTGAAACAAATGTTATCAGGAAATTTACAATAATCGATAATCTATATTTTCGCGGTCCCTAGACGCAAAAAAGATCAATTCAGAAAAAATAATCTCCATTCCAAAATTAGATTTATAGAAGAAAGACTTTAGATTGCGCGAATACGTAAAGCATAAGAACAAGATCATTTTGAGAAAAGTTATACCATTTTGTCACCATTTTTTTGCATTTTTTCTAAAAATGTGCGTTTTGAAGCTCGTAAATTATGCGTCCTATATACATAGCGTTCAATTGAGCCCGATTATCTGAATCGAATGTCATAATAAGCAACTTAATTGTTTCAGTATGAAGAAAAAAAATAGAAGAAAATCGTTGTCACCGTAGCTTTCTCTTTTTCTACTGATATTTTACATAATCAAGAGGAAGCACATAGTTTTCGTACTCGACTTTCAATAAGGAATCGTACGGTACTTTTCTCCACAGAGTTGCACCACTGTTTACATGATCAGTCGTTTTAAAGGTAAAGTGTAGTTTTTAATACAAACTAAACATTCTTCGACACTGAAACTTGTATCTAGACATTCATAGTTAGCTCATTATATCGAAAAACTTTCGTTTTCCTCAAAAGCTGTGCTTTCTACGAGGAAAATTGATGTTTTTTGTGTGATAAGCGTCTAATTTCATATTCACACCGATAGGTCATAGTCTACATGACTGAATAAAACAGTAGGAAACTGCATTTTTATGCTGAGAAGCAACAGAAATCAAAACGTTTGTGAGTATAGTGGTGGATAGTACTAACGCTCAGCCCCCAATTAGTCCCTCTAAACTCTTAAAACAAGAAAGTGAGGACAAGTGATGACGATAACGGACGTTTTTTTTATCTTATTTTTGATGTAAGTGAAATATGTTTTTACTTTACAACGGCGAATACTGCAATTTTTCATCTTATTTTGTTGAAATATCTATACACAGTCGTTATAATTTTACTTAAAAAGTAGCTTTGTAATTAAATCATCTGATTTGAAAAAATGAAGTTTTTTGCACCATACAGTGCAGACGTGCTCAAACATCTTTCTTGTTCACATGTAATCGGTTCTGGACAAAATTTTTCAGATTAAAACGTCAAAATTGGGTAGAAATCAAAAGAAAATTCTATTCTTACGGAGACAAAGGTGATGTAATTTTGTCGATAGTTTTTCAAGAATAATTCCACAAATTCCACATCGATATTGAGAAAATCGAAATAAACAATTCCTCAGAGAACTTATATGATAAAATGAGATAACGCTAAGTTACATTCGATTAGAGTATATGTCAAAAACGATAGAAAAATGATGTTCGATGTTCAAAATTCACTTGAGAACAATTATTTATCACATGTCAATTGATGGTAATTTACATGAATCATGTCTTATGCATGTGTGTTTTTCTTGTTTAAATTTATAAAAAAAAAAAAAAAGACGAAGAAGAATTTCTGTATATTTTTTTCTTCTTCTCTTGTTCTATCCTTTTGTTTCTTATAACAGAATAGAACAGAACAAAGAAAAACCTCTTCATTTCTTTTCTCTATTCATCTTGTATCATGTCCTATTATTAGAAACTGATCCTACAGATGAGTTGTCAATGATTTTTTACCGTTTATTCTTCTTTTTCTTATCAATAGTATCATTTAATATTCCTATTATTTTTATTTTAAATGGTATTTCTCAAATATATTCACTTACATTTCCTCACCAATATCCTTATCCCTCATCTTCTCAAAATGTACCTAATATTAATCTAAATCAAAATCATTTACAACAAAATACGGGCATAAATAATCATGCATATTCAAATTATTTATATAATTTAGCTTACAATGATTCGGATATAGTACCAGATGAACAACGTTTAATGGCACAATTATTAAGAAATTATGATCCATCAGCGAGACCCGTTTATAATGCATCTAATACTGTTAGTGTTGCATTTGGTATTTCATTAACACAATTATCCGATATGGTATGTACATCTTTGATATGAAAATTATTCACATTTATTTGTTGTTGTTGTTTTTTTATATTAAAAATATATCATCTATTGATTGTTAAACTACCAAATAACAGTCAATCAGTCAATTCTATTTTTCTAATGTCATTTATACTAAGAAAAATGTCAGAAAATATTTTCTTTCTCTAGTTACCCAAGGTAAAAATAATTAATTGCATCCATGCATCTTAAACGTGTACGTACGTTAATTGTCTTTTTTTTATTTATTAGTCTTATTTTTATCTTCATTTTACGTTGAGTCGTCAATTCAATACATCATTTTAAATTAAAGAATATGCAAAACTATACCATCTAGAGTATATACGTATGCGTGTAACACGCCTATTTTAGGACTAAATGGGGAAAAAAAATTTATCTTCAAGTAATTCTTGTAGAATAATGAATGCATAATCAATTTTTATATTCGATGAAATATAATGCAATGCAAACATTCATTTAACCTTTTTTTCTGATAGTTTTTATTCTTATTCTGACTTTTAGTAACAAAAGTTTCTTGTTTACTCATTAAAAAAATAAAAATAAAATTATCTGAATTTCAAAAGTATTATAATGAGTGTAAACGATGCCTAGATATTCTTAAAATTTGATGAAATTTTTATTTCAGTTGAACGATTTTTAAGAGAAAAAAAAAAAAAGTCTGAATGTGTTCTAAAAAAATGTCATGCAATAGAGAAACTAGAACTTATCTTTTTTTGAAAGATATTTTGACATTTTTTTTTTTTCGGAAATGAAAAAAAAAATAAATACAAGACGATTGTCCATTCACTTTGATAAATGCTGATGTTTCATACGGATCATCGTTCTATTAGTAGAGAAAAAGAACTTGTGAAGTATATTGACACGTCTTCAGATAAATATGACAATTTAGATAATCGAAACACATTAGAGTCGTGATTTTTTTATTTTGACAAAATGCATGTGTCGATTAATTTTACATTAACATAATATATATATGAATAAGTCAATTTTACATCTGTTGATATCAACGACCAGATTTATACAATACATGGATCAATGATAAGAAGAGAACAGTATTGCCTTGTATATTTATCAGAAAAACTGTTTTTCAACTAATGTATGATATCTATCTATCTTCATATTTTTAAAAATAGAACAGACTCAATTATTGGATGAACAACTTTTGATTGAGAAGAGATGGAGATCTGTACATTTTTATCATGTAATTGGACAAAACATTAAGCTTGAAGATCTATTATGAATACTTAGTTTTAGTAAAAGTCGTTTATAGATATTCATCTAGACTAAGGATCACTATCTAACCCGATTTCGAAACAGAACCGATCGTTTTTTGCTCAGAAGTGAATGAAATGCTGAGGCTGGTGGGGATGTGTGTTTTTAGAAGAAAAAAATCTCATTTCTATATTAGGTGGAATATCCAAGCCATTTTGGGCTGTTATCACGGGAAATCGATTTCATGATATGAATATATTTAGTTTTGCTAGTTTTCAAGGTTTAAAACCCTATGATCGAGTTGCGTATGTACGATTCAGTATAGGTATACTCTGACAGTTTTTTTGTTAAATGCGATAGATTTTAAGCTATTTATGAATCTTTTAATTGCCGTTGATAATATCCAGAAATTTCTTAATATTTTTTTCTATAAGGTTTTCTACGCATTTTAAAAAACTAGTGTTTAAGAGAGATTTTGAAGCTTAGCCCTTTTGTCCAAATATTGGCTGATGAAGGACAAAAGCACAGATTCTCATCTCTTTCTAATCAAAAGTTATTCATACAATAATTGATCCGATCTACTCTGAAGTGGATAATGCTTTGGTTAGACTAATAAATGGTCTGCCATCCCATTTCAAAGATACGATGTTCGCACCCTAGTGACATTAATCACGTAATGACCTTGGATAAGTAACTTATGCTCGTTGCGTCAGTTCGCGACCTACAGTAGCATACAATGGGATTAGCTTCTCTGTTTGACTAATCACAGGTCTAGAGTTTAAAAAATTCGAACTCTGAAGAAGTCTACCAATTTCTGAATAACTTCTAATTGAATTGAGAGAGAAACTTGAGACTTAGCAAGCCACAAAAGAGAGAATGTCGCTTCATAAAAATAATTTCAATACTTGGTGAATAACAAATAGAAACTGTTACTAGACGCGTTCCTGACTGCTATTAGCAGAGATAGAGAGTGATACGAGAACAAGTGCCCATAGAAAATAAAATTGTTGTTTAGTACGACGCGTTTCGTTTTATTTGAAAATAAAACTCATCAGGCAATATTTTATATCTCTTTATAATAATTTGTAATATAAGCGCTGGGCTTATATTACACGAACAATATTCTAAACAAGCATATATATATACTTATATATTACTTACTTATATATAAAATACAAAAAGTAGTTGAAGCGTTTTTTATACAAAAAACATTCAACCGTATAAATTAAAGTTTGAAGTTGGGTTCACGGAGCCTTAAGCCAAGGCACTTGTTCTCGTATCACTCTCTATCTCTGCCAATAGCAGTCAGGAAC